TGGTTTGTGTTTTTTGTAGGGCAGTGAAGGTGAGTGGGGGCACAAGCACTGAGCGGGAACCAGTTTGAAAAACCACAAGAAACGGTTATTGGGGCACCTCAGTTCACTCAGAGTGCAGTACTCGGGGGCCAAACAGAAAAGTTATTCAGCGCCAGTCCGTGTGCCACCTCCCAAACGAACAGGGGCCCGATGCATGGATACACTCGCAGGGCCCTGCACAATGGAACCAGCCTCAGGATCCAGTTGGCTTTAAAGAACACTAGCAACTAGGGTATAAAATAAAAAAATATGATGCACAATTCATTTAAAGGGGCACTGCTGGCTAGGAGAATTTTCCCCATTCATTTTTTAGTTCATGCCTTATGGCTTCAAACCTGATATTAGCACCTCTTTCCCCTCCCACAACATAACCTCCCCCTACCGGTACCACGCATCAACCCCGAGGGTTGTCCTGCCCTCGGCCGACACGGCATTCTGATGCATTTCCAAATTCAGTAGATGCCAACATGGCTGCCTTCCGTCGAGTTCTCACGCTTCGACACTAGTATTGTCAGGGTTACCTAGGAACCACAGCTCTGCGGGAACAGTGTTTGTGAGCTGCCTGCTGACACGGAGCCAGCAGGGGGAGCTCATGCACAGTTCTTCGGAGGATACTCTACAGACCTCTGGCTTCTGGAGTCATAGCCCCTTTGGGGCGGGTGGGGGGGGCACTGCCCAAGCACTGGTACCGGCTGTGACAGAGGTTCCTTGGGACACCTGATTACCAGCTCTCCTTCCAAGACAGGCCTGTGGAGCTCTGGCCCTGCCAGTGGTGCACCCCACTTGGTGCTCCTCTTCACCAGCAGGGAGCAGGGAATTGTGGGGTCTCTCTGCCCCTTACAATTCTGAATATATTTTCCACCAAATTACATCAATATTAAGGTAGATCTAATTATGGGATCAAACAGGCCTGCTGTGTCTCTCTTCACCCTTTCTTTCCCCTATTTAAACAGCAGTTTTCCCTTTTTAGGCTGTGGAAGGTCAGCAGCCAGGCGCCAGTTAGGTCCCAGGGACTGCTGGTACTTCCAACCTGAAAGGAGAGAAGAGAAGTGCCTTTTGTAATAGCTGTTCTAGCTGGGGAGTGAATGGCAAAACATGGTGTAAGAGGATCAGAAAAATCCAACACCCTGGACCAGCCCCTGGCTAATGACAAGTTCTAGGGGTTCTCTCTGCAGCAGCTGGGGTTATGATCATGAGCCTAAAACCACTGGGGCAGACGAAACATTAATACTAACCACAAATAAGCTATGGTAACTCCAGGCAACTCATACTAGTTTCCTTCCCAGTCCCTAAAGCTAATAAATTGCTTTCCCCATGGTCTAACTCCTTCCTCTTCCTGTCACATGAGACTTATTCTTGTTTCAGCAACTGTTCTTGGAGCTCCGCCTTGTTAAGCTGCTGGTAGAAGCCCTTCCATTTAGAGTTGGCGGAGGAGTCACTGTTGAAAGCAGCTGTCTCCCTCTTTCAGTAGCTTGCAAAAATGCCCTCTCTCTGGACTACTTCTAAGGAGAAAGATGAAGGATGGTCTTGTGGTTCAAGGCACTTGCCTCAGGAGGTGGTTAAAAATTTCCAAAACTTTTCTAACTAAAAATTTGGTTTTTATCTCAATTAAACTCTTCATGGAAAGTGTTTGCTTCCCTCAAAAAATTCAATTTTTTGTGTCAGAAAACCAAAAATATTTCAGCGTTTGGCACTTTTTGGCCAATGTTGTCAGCCCACAACTCCTGAAAACAAAACATTTCAGCCGAAATCCCAAGTTTTCAGTTTCCAGCTAAAGAGTTTGGGGTTTGGGGTTTTTGATAAAATTTTCTCTGGGGATCCCGCCCCCTATTTTTTGACCAGCTCCATTCCAGAGATTTGGGTTCAACTCCTGACTTTGCCACCGATGTCTTGTGTGCTGCTGCACAAGTCATTTAATCTCTCTGAATCTCAGGGCCCCATCTGTAAAGCGAGGATAATAATTCTTCCTTCCTTTCTTTTGTCTATTTAGATTGTAAATCCTTCAGGGCAGAGAGAGAGAGAGACAGAAAGAGGGAGAGTGTGGGGGTGTGTATATGGCACCTAACTCAGAGAGACCCTGGTCTTGCTTGGGTCTTTAGGCATGTCTGTAATACAAATAAACAATCATAATAAAGAGAGAGGGATTGAATAATCTTCTGCCTGGATGTAGATTCAGCTTTAAAAGTTCAGCTTAGTGCTACTGGGTAGAGCTGAGCATTCAGCAACTTCCTTTCCAGAGGTTCTCTGCTCTCCCCACACTTGACAAGACTCATACTGGGAAACCAGGAACCAATCACCAACAGACCGGTTAGCCAGTAGCTTACCAAGTGTCTGCTGGTTGCGGACCCCTCCAATCACCACACAGATTTCTGCTGGCACATCTCCTGGCCCATCCTTTATGTTTTTCTTGGAATCTTTGGTGTCATCCTGCCAGATCACCTCTTGAATATAGTCATCTGGTATCTCTGTTTTCACCTTCACCTCCGTCATTGTTCCGGGCTCTTCACTCGGCGAGGACTGAGATGTCACAGAATCAGAGCCCTCTGCTTTTGGGCTCTTCGGGCTCCTCTTCAAGTGCTCCCTGGGTGCGGGGAAGAGGAAAAAATAAGAATTCTTATTTTCTAGCTCAACTTTTAGTTACTGACACCAAAATAAAGATACTTCTGTTTACTATGGTTTATTTAAGATTACTGTGTATGTTTGTATGTGTCTGTGATAAATGAGTGATAAAATTTTAAGTACTTACAAAAGTAATAAAACTATTTATTAGTAATGAAAACAACCTTAAATAGCATCAACAAACTGACTCAGGAAAGAAAATGAGATTCCACTTTGGAAAAACAAAGCTAATACTATCTTGCAGGAAAACAGTCTTTTTAAAAGCACAGATACTTACCAGAAGGGAGAAACCTGGAAAACAAAAATCTGAGCGAGATCTACAGCTGATAATGGGCAGCAAATTCATTCTAGTCTGGTAATGTGATATGACAGCAAAAGAAAATGAGCAGTTTGGGGTTTCACAGACAGAGGAATCATCAGAATGCAGTCCCTTTATTTGACTCTCCTGAATCCACTCATATGTCCAGTCTTGGGCATCTTGTCACCAGCACTGGGTATAAACAAACTGGAGGAAATTCAAAGATGAACACATATAATGTGGAAGATTGCAGGATCAATGTACAAGGACAGACTAAAAGAGCTAAATATATATACAGTAGCTTAGGTGACCAAAGGCTATGGAGTAGCAGACATGCTAAGAGTCTGTGAAGTATTTAGACAATGGAAACACCAAGGAGACAGAAAAATTGCCAAACATAGTTTAACGCGCTATTATAACTAGGAGTAATGGATGAAATTAAGAAATAGAAAACTTAGGATGAATATCAGGTTAAGATATGCTACTGCAGAGATCTATTAGACCATGAATTAGTGGAAGAGGAGGAAACCCGATTGCTTTGGATATTTAAATGAAGATATCACCAAAGTACTAATAAATATGCTGTAGAACTAACCATATACTATTTTATAATATCAGGTGAAAAGATAGTATGTGGTGCAACCCAAAGGAGGCAACTGATCAGGATATCACTGCTATAATTGAAAGAAAAATTGCACAGGGGACAGTAGTGAGGGGATGAAAAGGAGAGGAGTAAATGAACAATGAGAACAATCTTCTGTAACAATTACTGAACGTCCTCCTACACAGCTATGGAGTTGCTCTTTCAAATGGGTCAGTCACAGCGGGGCTCCCAGACATCAGACATTCTCACCCCCTCATTGTCATTAAAAAATGAAATGTATAATTAGTAGCCTCCAAACAGAAAGGAAAATTATTCCTGAGACACCCAATAGAGGCCCCCTCATCTACCCAAGTTTTCTTGAAAATCATTCAGAGCTTTTATAACTGATAAAAGATGAATTTACACAGAAAAATGTCAATGAAAATAAGGAGTTCTTTCAGAAGAATTTATTAGACGTCCCAAAAGCCCTGATTTCACAATCAGGAAAGAGGACAATTTTGGCTAAAAGCCTATCCTGGTTCAGTGGCAAAGTGAGGGCAGCAATTAGAAATAAAAAAGTAACATATAACAAATGGGAAACGGGGGAAATAGGTAGCAATTAATCCAAATTAAAAGTTATAAAATATGAAAAACTGATAAGGGAAGCTAAGGGCATCAGGGAAAATTCCATGGCTGGAAGGGCTAAGGACAATGTGAAGGAGTCTTTTTGATTTTTTGTTTGTCTGTTTTAACTATATTAGGAACAAAAGAAATCCTAGCAATAGTACAGGTGCATTTCTAGATGGAGATGGGATAATTGTTAACAATACTACAAAAAAAGCAGAAGTACTCAATAAATATTTCTGTTGTGTATTTGGGAAGAAGCAGGATGATGTACTTCTATCACATGAGGATAATGAAGTGCTTTCCAGTCCATTATTAACCACGGAGAATGTTAAACATCATTTACAAGGGATAAATGTTTTAAAATCAGCAGATCTGGATAACAGGCACTCAAAAGAATTGGTAAAAAGACCTCTGGCCCACTGATGCTCATTTTTAATACTTTTTTTTACTACCAGGGAAATTCCAGAAGACTGAACAGTGCTAATGCTATGCCAATGTTCAAAAAAGGAAAGCTGGATGACCTGGATAACTATAGGTTGGTTACCTGACATCAATCCCAGGCAAAATAATGGCAAAGCTGATATGGGATTCAATTGATAAAAAATTAACAGACAGAAATATAATTAGTACCAGTCAACCTGGTTTTATGGAAAATAGGTGTCAAACAAAATTAATTTCGTTCTTTGATGAGATTACAAGTTTGGTTGATAAAGGCAACTGTGCAGCTTGGACTTCTGTAAGACATGATCTAGTCTAGACAGACATACAACACCATGGTTCAAAAAATTACACAATATCAATAAAGCACATTAGATGGAGTAAGAACTTGACTAACTCACAGATCCCAAAAAGCAGATGGCAATGGGAATTATCATCAAATGGGGATGTTTCTAGTGGGGTTCCGCAGGGAATGATTCTTGGCCTGACGCTATTCAGTTTTTCATCACTGATCTTGAAGTAAATATAAAAGCACTGCTGATAAAGTTTGTGAATGACACAAAGATTACTGGAGTGCTAACTCATATAGATCAGTCTGGATCACTTGGTAAACTGAGCCCATTAAAAATGCATCTTAATACCGCCAAATGAAAGGTCGTGCCTTCTAGGAACAAGGAATATAGGCCATACCTGCTATGAAGGGGTGTCCACCCCACCCAGGGGCTGAAGGGGTTAAGGTGGCTAGCTGGGCGAATTGACTGCCCAGGCTGCACTTGGAGGGGGAGCCAGGGAGCAGGGGTTGATTAAATGAGGCTCAGCTGGATGGGAACAGGAGGGGCCCATATAAAGCCCAGGAGCTGAGAGCAGAAGAGAGCTGCAGTCACTCCCTGGGAAAAGGGAGGCGTGTTGGAAGCAAGGAGCCTATAGTTACTCCCTGGGAGGAGGGAGTTGGGGGCTGGCAAACCCGGAGAGGGGGAGAGCCGGAAGTTGGAATAGAGGGCAGAACTGGGTTCCCTTACCAGCCACTGGGGAAGTGCCACAGACCACGCAGTGGAGAGTGGACTGCCTAGGACAGTAGGCCCCGAAAGAATTTGATACCTCGGAAAGGGAGGACCACAGTCACCTGGCTGGAGGGCCAAGTCACGAAGAGGAAGCTGAAGTTCCTGGAACGAGGGGCCACAGGGTGAGAAAGGATAACGGGTGGAGAGACTACCAGAGGAGGGCTCAGTACCTGGAAGGAGCTAATCCCCAGAGCTGCCAGGAGGAGGCGCTAGAGCAGTGAGTGGTCCCCATGACACCTACAGAATGGGGGACTATCCCGGAGAACAGTAACTCCAAAAAGGATTTAGGGGTCATAGTGGACAACATCTGCTCCCAGTGCGATGCTGTGGCAAAAAGGGTTAATGCGATCCTTGGATGTATGAACAGGAGAATAGTGAGGAAAATTAGGGAGGTGATTTTACCTCTGTATATGGCATTGGTGAGACTGACACTGGAATACTCTCTCCAGTTCAGCTGTCCACATTTTAAAGAGGATGTTGAAAAACTGGAGGGTACAGAGAAGAGCCACATAAATGATTTGATGGCAGGAGAAAATGCCTTCCAGTGAGAGGCTTAAGAAGAGCTCAGTCTATTTAGTTAATCAAAAGGAAGACTGAGATCAAGAGGTGCCTTGATTACAAGTATGTGAGATCCTTCATGGGCTCCAAAGGACTCTTTAAACTAGCCGAGAAAGGCAGAACAAGAATCTATGGCTGGGAGCTGAAACCAGACAAATTCAAATTAGACACAAAGTTTTAACAGTGAAGGGGATTTACCATTGGAACAAACTCCCAAGGGAAGGGGCCGATTTTCCATCTCTTGCTGCCTTTCTGGAAGATGCTTTAGTCTAATACAAGTTCTTGGGCTCAATACACAGATAACTGGGTGAAATTTAATGGGCTGTGATATGCAGAAGGTGAGACCAAGATGATCTACTGGTCCCTTCCGGCCTTAAAGTCTCTTGATCTATGAATGCCTGAATCAGAAACACTTGTTCAGGCCCCCAGTACCTTATCTCTTCATGCTCATTGCCATTTTTTATCCACCCCTACTAAGAGGATAATTTCCAGAGAACAGGCAGACTGGCTCTTGCCTGACCTTGCTTGGGAAAGACCAATCTACAAACATCAACTAAAATCAACATTATTCCACTACCTGCCCCCAATCCCCCAAACACTAACACATACTCATTTAAAGCATCAGTTCTGTAACTACCAAGGGGCTCCAGCTTAACAGAAAGATCAGCCTCCCATAGATTTAATAAACAGCTAACCCCCTTCCTATATATCTCTTGATGCTCACACAAGAAATTATCCTGCCCTGGGCCTGCAAAACCTTATTTCAGATCCGCATCAAACTGAGAACGATAGTCTGGTGACTGGCCACATGGCCCTATTTGATATTCAAGCCACACAACTCATTCCATTTCACCTCCTAGACACTCAACAAATTCTTGTTGTGAGTGAAAGGACAACGCTGCAGGTACAACACAGGTCACAGGATGTATCCCTTGGTATCTCAGATAGAAAAGAGGAGCAGGTCTTAGCATTTCTACTTTTATTGGATTTGTTCTAGTATCTCAACAACTGGGCAAAAACCATGGGATGCATTTAGATGAAAATAAAGCAATAGCAAATGAGTTCTCTTTTGGCCACAACCAATACACTGTTTTCACTGGGGTTTTTTGTTTTTGTTTTTACGATGAGCATGCATTACTCATTACATAAAACAACAACTACTTAATCTGTGGCAGCATCCTGGGGACTGACTAGTTAGATTTTTTTCTCCTGACCACTTCCTGCTTCTGCACTCTTGACTTTCACAGCTTTTAAGAAGTTGACAAGTCTCAATTCTGTACTGCACAGGTCAGAGTTTATTTTTGCAGTAAAAAAGCCCATTCAACCAGACTACAGGACTCCTAAATGCAAGAAGCGACACTCACCGATGCACAAACATTTTAAGTTGGAGAAACCGTGTGTTTTGTTTCCATTCTATTGTGAATCTACAGCAGTCACATAGTATTACCACATACGATTTCATATACACAGAGAATTCCGTCAAGAAGTTTTACATTAACTACTTTTTCACAACTGCTTTTTGAGTTCTTTTAAAAATTCACTTCCTACAATATTCCTATAATTTAATATCTCACTTAAAGTGACTTTCCAGCCATCAGTCAATTTCACATGGTAGGCCTTGTCCACACTTGCGGTGTAGTCACATACCACAGCCAAAAGCAGGCTACGTCCACATGGCAGCGAAAGGCTCTGGCAAGGGAGAGGCAGTAGAGAAAGGTTCCAGCAGCAGGGAGCTGCCATAGCCTTTTTCCACTGCTTCCCCACTGCCAGAACCTTTCCCCACTGCCAGAACCTTTCCCCACTGCCGGAGCCTTTCACAGCAGCGCTTCACAGCATTGCACTGCTGAAAACAACAGCGTAGATGTGGGAGGTTCTGGCGTGTCTCTACTTTACTCACCTAAGCAGTGCCGCACGGCCTGCACTGCTATTTATACACATGG